TGCACTGGTGGTACGTCACATCTTCGTTACACAAGTTATAATTCATTATTATATGATATTATTCAGTACAAAATTGTAAAATTTGTTTAAATCATATTCGTTATCTACATTACATTAGCAATCAGAAAACAAATATAGTGATTCTCATCCAGGAAACTATTTGCGCTATGGCGTTATGGATACTATTTTGCGTTATCTGGCACTCCGTACAAATAACTTCGTTTAACTAATTTCAAAATAGTCAACTTCGGAGCACATTTTTGGCTCAATGAAAACATTTCGTGATGTTTGCACACTGCATGTATGTTCACAGTTAGGTCTATATATCCCTTTTGTTGCGAGATATATTCGTTTTAATTACATAATAAGTATCTAGTACAGGTATATGTATCATTCCCGCAGTATTGTGAGAATAAAGTGAGAAATCATTAATTTGGCATTGTGTAAAGTTTTTATTTATTTCAATAAAATTAACCGTTTCAAACCGGGTCTACGTGACAGTCAATAAATTAGTTTGAATCTTTAATTTAAACGTTTACAAATCAATGACAGTTAAATTTATATTTAAGGATTTAAACTGAATTTTTCCATTAATTCGGGTCCAAGAGTCAGTTATGTGGCGAAAAGTTACTCAAAAACCATTAGTTCATGTCTAAAAATACTATTGCAAAGTGCTGGGAAATCGCACCTGGAGCCATATTTTAATTTTAATTTTATTTTATGAGGGAGGAACCCCAGACTTCCTTTACGTGCTTCGCGCTTAACGGCGCTCACGCTGACGGCTTAACCGCCATTTATTATGCTTCGATACTATAGTATAAAGATCTACTGTTGTAATAAGAACCCCCCCCCCACTTTATTTGCTGGGGCTACGCTCCTGAATAGTCTAGTTATGTTATTACTCTGATTACATTTCAAACACAAATTTAGAGCATGTCTGTTATTGCACTTGATTACATTTCGAACGCAGTTTTGAAATGCGTCGGTTACGGTACTCGCTTACGTTTTTAATACTGATTAATTTTCGAATACATCTGATGTCACACTTGGTTACGTTTAGAATCCAATAAATTTGACGGGTAATCAGCCGATATGCTTAGGTCGACCTGTGTGTTCTTCTGTGGGACGTTACTTAACTACACATGCGCCCACCTTAGTTACAAGACTTCTTGGAGTTTGGGCCTCCGATTCACGCGCGCGTGCACACGTACGCACCCGCACGCATGCACGCACACACGCACATACGCGCACGCACACACACGGCGCGCACACGCCCACGCACACACACACACACAACACACACACACACACAGCATGCGCCGCGCGAACTTACACGGATAGCACTTATACATATAGAGTACCAAAAAATCCGGGACTGCTTGTGCATTTTCTCGATTTTCCGGTTTCTCGGCAGTAGGCCTACTTTTAAACTTTTAAATTTAAGGCGGAATAAAGAAGAGATGAACCCGTAAATTTCGATTCATTTATTAGCTAATACAGCATACTTCATTAATAAAACGAGCAGTTTTAAAGAAAAATAAAGTCAACACTTGACAAAAATGTAACATATAACCCACTTTTCATAACAGATGTAAGTACTGATTACATCCTGCGTGTCGTTTCTTGATATAATTGTTAGTCTCTCTCACTGTCTCTCCCTCGATGTCTATCTTTATTCTCTATCTTTCTCTCTCTCTCTCTCTCTCTTCTCTCTCTCTCTCTTCTCTCTCTCATCTCTGCTTTTCTCTCCCGCTTCTCTCTCTCGCTCTCTTTCTCTCCCTCGCTTTCATTGTTCTGCTCCCCTCGCTTGCTCTCGCTCTTCTTCATCCGTTTCTTTTTCATTTAGTCGTTTATTTTTCATTATAGGACTCTCCTCTCTTCCTTCGTGTTCGCCGCCCTCCTTCTCTCTCTCGTCTCTCTCTCTTCTCTCTCTCTCTCTCTCTCTCTCTGCTCGTTCTTCTCTCTCTCTCTCTCTTTCTCTCACACACAACACTCACACGACCACACATATACACACACACACACACACCCACACACACACACACACACACACACAACACACACCACACACACACACAAGACTGCTCTGCCTTTCTCCCTCTTTTTCTGCCTCTGCCTCTGCCTTTCCCTCTAACTCTCTATTTCCCTTCGCTCTCTCTTTCGTCTGTTCTTTGTCACTGTCTTTTCTCTGGCACCGCCTTATCTTTTTCTAATCCCCCCATCTCTCGCTCTTTTTGCCCCCCCCCCTCTCTCCAGTGCCGTAGCTAGGATTTCGTTTCAGCGGGGGGGGGCTTACATTTTCGTGGGGGCCACAAACATATAAACTTTGTATTATACTGTTTCTAACGGCATTGTTTTTACTTTCAATTTTTTTTCTCAAGCATGAATTTTTCAGTGGGGGCACGCTGGGGGGGCACAGGAAAATCATGTGGTGGCCCCCCCGCGTAGCTACGCCCCTGCGTGCTCTCTTCGTCTCTCTCTCTTCTCTGCTCGCTCTCTCTTCTCTCCTGCCGCCTCTCTCTCTCTCTCTCTCTCTCTTTGTCTCTGCTCTCTGCTCTCTCTCTCTCTCGTCTCTCTCTCTCTCTCTCTCTCTCTCTCTGCTCTCATCTCTCTTTCTCTGGCTCTAAAACCTTCTCAGTTTTTTAACGCATCTCTGTCTTCTTTTCTTTACTGTCGCTGTCTCTACCCCTTTCTATCTCTGATCTCTAGAGCTCTCTTTTTCCTTTCTTCTTCTTTTCGTCTTCGTCGACCCCTTCCTCATCGCTCTCACTCCCTCTCCCGGTCCATGTAAGTTACTATCGTTTTTGGCTCTCTCTTCCACTGTATCTCTTGCTCTATCCCTTCTGCCTGCATATCTTGCCCTCTATTAGGCTTTCCCCTTCTCCCTCGCCGTATGTCTGTTTCTCTAATAGCTTGCCAACACTCCTTCTCCTTTCTGTCGCAGTATGCTACTTCTACCTCTATATCTGCCCTGTATCTGTCTCTCATGCACGCTCGTCTGCTTCACTCTCTCTCATCTCGCCTCTCTCTCTCTCCTGCTCGTCTCTCTCTCTTCTCGGGCTCTCTCTCTCTCTCTCCTCTCTCTCTCTCTCTCTCTTCTCTCTCTCTCTCATCTCTCTCTTTTCTCTCTCTTTCTCTCATCTCTCTCCTCTCCTCCTCTCTCTCTGTCTTTCTCTCTCTACTGCCTCTCGCTCGCACTCTCTTACTCTCGCGCGAACTGTCGCTCTCTCTCCGTCGGCAGTCGCGCATCTCTCTCCTCTCCTTGCGCGCGCTCTTCTCTCTCTCTTCTCTCTCTCTCTCTCTCTCTCTCTCTCTCTCTCTCTCTCTCTCTCTCTCTCTCTCTCTCTCTCTCTCTCTCTCTCTCGCTCGCGCATCTCTCTCTCTCGCGCTCCCCTCTCTCTCCTCTCGCTCGCTCTCTCTCACTCGCCGCCTCTCTCCCTCTAGCTATTACTTTCCTTTCTACATCTCCCTCACTGTGTCTGTCTCTCTATCTGTGGCTCTGCGTGCGTGCGTGCGTCACTGCTTGTGACTGCTTGCAAACACAGTGTAAACAGGTACCGTATGTGTGTGCTGTAACGTAAGCGTGGTGGGGGCGGACTTGATCCTGCTGCCAACGAGTTTGCGCACAAGTTCTGGCTAATCACGCGCGACGAGGTCTAGTCACGTGACTTGAAACCGACAACATTCAACATGGCGCTTTTTGGTTTGTAATTTGAAAATGTTTATATTTGTATGCTCCGAGATCGTTTGCTCCTCATCATGTCATTGTTACATATCATGTCATTATTTGCTGATTCGGTGATTATAATAATTGTCAAAATTATATTTTGAAATTTGATAGGCCTAGGGTTATTCTGTAACTACTAACTAGGGTACAGTATGGCACTCGGTTACGGTAGGAGCAATTTAGGGTTTAGGTTTAGCTCACAGGCACTTCGGACCGTTTCAATAAATAAAATGATGGTTAATAAGATACAACTTGTCAGTAGGCCTACTACGTACCAGTACCCGCAATTAGTCTAATGTTCTGATTTACCTAATAACTTCACTTCCCACACCTTCAATACACCGCTGCACACATGAGCCCGCACGCCATTTGTGCATGCACAAATACACAGTAGTAGGAACTACCTACCTAGGAACTCCTAGAGGAGAAGAGCCTAGTAGGTGAGGAACTCCTACCTTACTGTGTGATTTGGTGCTATGCACAATGGCGGTGCGGGCTATGTTTGCAGCGGCGCTGTTTGAACCGGGTGGTTGAAGTGAAGTTATTAGGTCAAATCAAACATTAGAGACCTATTGCTGGTACTTGTCAGTAGTGAGGCTAACTGACAAGTTGTATTTATTAACCATCATTTTATTTATCTGGGGAAAACGGTCCAAGTGCTGTGGTTTTAAGCTACTAGTTACAGTAGATACTTAGATACAATCAGGAGTATCAACACTTGATATTGATAGACTCCTGATACAATAACTAGCAACCCAATCCCCTACTCTCTATCGCTGTGTTGTGGGCTTACATTATTGTATCCTATCTAAGGTTTCAGCAACCGCTCTCGGTCCAGTGCTATTTTTGGGTAGCATCACAGACTACAGCAGAGCTACACTAAGGTGTAGCCGCCCCGTCCTTCTGTCCGCCTGTAGCTAGGGAGCGAAGGGTCTACGCTGAGGTAGAGCTAGTAATAATTTGGCAAGGCTTGTTTTATTTGTATATTCAATGAATCAATGAAATTTAGTATAGTTAACGACAACCTAGATTTTAATAAGCCAGTTAGACTGTTAAGATGTTCAGGGATTGTGTTACAGACTTACATGGCCCGATTTTGGTTGCCCATTGGGTAGATATCCCTAAACTCTCTGGTTCTCTTTTGCCGTTCATTATTGCCACTATTCGGGCCCCATCTATTATGGGGTCCCGATATGGGGGTACCCGTCGCGACAACTCAGAATATATGTAATGTAATCAACCTTCTTTATAATTATACGCTCTGTCTTAGTGTAATCCTTAGTTAATACATGTATAGCGCCCTACTGTACAGCCTCGCCTCATTCCATTCGCCTACAGGCATTCGCTCTGCTAGTCGCTAAGATATTTCGTACTAATATGGGTAATTTTAAATTCGTATACTTATAGTTAGAACTGTAGACTTGTCCTCCTAAGCTGGTCTAACCTGTGATATCATATGTACTCATACGACTTTGATTGTCAATCACATACAGCTCATAGAGCTACGTGGGAGCACCCGATTTAATGGAACTTCGATAGTAACGCGATGAGGTGCCGGTTGGACCCCCTTTTTCGCCTCTTTTTTAGTTATTTATTTATGTTAGACCAATTATCCCATCATAACCAATAGCTAGAGCATACTTGTTACAAGATACAATGGTGCTGAGCTTCCGTGAACGAATTGCATCAACTAGCCGAGGAATATATAGACAAAAAGCATGACTAAGCGCACATTCATTTACATTGTCGCGGCCGGCGGTGCGCAGCGCGCGGACCTACGGGGCCACGCGCTCTCTTGGGTGGCCTGTTTGCTATGTCCTCTAAATCTGATCAATTACAGACTACTGTCTGCACTAAGCAGTATCAAATATATTAACCAAAATTTGTGACTGTTTTGCTTATTTGTTCTTCAAATTTGTTGACTACGGTCATTTACTTGCCCAGATATAACATCGGCTCATAACCTTGACGTTTTGGGTGGTCGCAGCGGTCGCGATACGCTGTTTTTTCCGCAATCCGCATGTCGGCACTGTAGATAGACACATATCGCCATTACTAACGGGGCTACTCGGATAGCCTTCCGCGCTCCGCTGCGAGTGCGGCAGCGGCGGGGACGCCGGAGCTATACCCGTCCTCGTAGACGCTTCAATCACACAGTCCGACTTGCATTTGTTATATATTCAGCGAATTAGGGCGGATATCATTCATAAAGTGTACGGCTTAACATGTGTAGCGTGCGTCAGTTTGGTATGGTTAAATAGATGACGTAAAGCAGACAAAAGTCGCACAATTCTTAGCGCAAATTGTCCAGAACATAGCGATGTGCAGACAAGTTCATGGGACTTTTTTATCAAGCTGTTGGACACGTTTTTGAATAAGATTGATCGTGTCGATAATCTTGATCATGTTTGACTCTCCTCTAGCTATGGTCTATGCTGGAAAGTAGATGACACGTAGACATGTCATGTCGAATCACCCGAACTTCACAGACAGATGCCAAAAGCCGCACCGGAAAAGAGAGAAGCTGAGATTCTTCCACAACGGGGTTCGCAACATAACCATAAATATGAGGTACTTCAAACATGTTGCCATATATACTATTACTATACTATATATATATAAGAATATGTCTATTATTATGTCAGATATACTTGGTTACGCAGCATGTTCTTTAATGGTTAAGGCGTATGCTAGGGTTGTAGGCCGATCGAGTTCAGATAGTTCACCCTTTAATTGTTATAATTCGTTTACGCATATAATGCTCTCGCACGGATGTGTTTTGACAACCCTGTGTGAGCATAGTGCTACACATGTATTAGTTTATAATTTTAAGGGGTAGGATAAATGTAAGCGGGCGCTCGATGCACTCGAGCTTCTGTATTGTGACGTGGGTACGCTATAATGCACAGTCCATTTATCAGATCCTGAGCACACGGGGTGGTGAACCCGAAAGAGGATCAGGTTCTATTCTGACTCATGTTACATCATTATTGTTGTCAGGGCTGGGAAAGAAGCATATATAACAGCTATATGTGTACATCGCCTTGGAGATGCTGGGCTAGTCCCTAGATCGAGTCAGGATACGCCTTCTCGCACATAATTCATTCCCTCATTCGCCTCCCTGCCATTATAAATCCATCTTCAGTATGTTCTTACCATTAATAGTAATAGTTTGCTATAAGTGTTGTCCCAATTTTATGATTCGCGTCATGTGTATATTTAATCTGTAATCGCACCAAAATAACTCGCTCAGAGACAAGCATTTGATGTTAGCATATTTATTTCTGACATGTATTCATTCATGTGTCAGTAGGAGGATATATGTGTAATCGCCTTTGGAGAGTGCTCCAGACGACCTGAACATGGTGTCCAATAAAGTTACGCTTGATGAAATTATATGGGGTAATACTGTAACATAGATGGGGCGAATTATAACTTGGAGAACAGTATTAAGCTACTCATATTAGTGCATGGGGACTTGGTAATTCTATCCTGGAGCACAAATGTCTTTGCTGCTACCTACTAGAACTAGTTCTTTGTCCTCAGAGAACAAGCAAGGCCGTACGAGTGCGGGAGTGTTCACAAGTTCTCCAAGGGCTGGATAGAATATTGAACCCATCATTTTTTTCGATAGCAAATGATAGCTACCTCATGAAGATTGAAACAAATGATGTTTCTTAGAGGCAACTAAATATGTGCTACTGGGAATGACCATCAATGACCTGCCTCTGAGCGAAGTTATTTATGTGAGACTCGTTATTAAAACAGTAAGCACGAATGCCATTATAATGAAATTGTTATCATTTACATCGAATGACCACGAATTTACATTACTTTTGAGTATTTTGAAGACAGTTCTGAAACTGAACGGACTCTCATCACTCTAGTATATTCTTTATTTGATCAGCCAGCGGCAGGGAGTACGCGAGTTGTTCTGTCGAATTGTCATGTCGCAGCCATATGATGTTGTAGTCAAGGAGACAGTTACCTATTCTGCTAAGAGCACCCTCGACTTCATATCATTATGAAAGTGAGGTCAATTACTTAGGTTAGTCCATTATGTATTGACAAGCATAAAAATTTTGGCAAACTGTTAACATTGATCGTCCCAGAAAGGGTAATAAAGGTATAAATGGTGTTACATCGCTGTTCTGATAAGTGGAGAGTTCTGTATAGATATGAGATTATCTATGATTTATGAGTCGTCTACATTATATCATGTTATTAAAATATCTAACGATATATAGATATTTGACACTCGTAGTTAGAGGCATCCAAGAGACTTGACACAAGTTTGCTCAGTATAAGAATGATTGAGATTCACAATACATGTAAACTAATTTGACCAAAAGTTCGACTGGTCAGGGAATATATGTACATCGCGCGGGGCCAAAACATGATTTGGCGACGAAGTGGTGGTTTTGGCGGGTTCTTATGTAGTAGGTCATTACTGGTTTTATCTTAAGAAAACCATATAAGAACTTATCGTGAGGAAAAATTGTATTTTACCACCCTATTCTATTTTTTGCAGGAACACCATTCCTAAACTAAAATTTATCGCAAGCATCCGTATAAATGATAATAAAAGACATCACGTCACGTGTAACAGAGTTTATGAACATTACCTTTGACATATATGCCTGTAGAAACCGCTCACGGATTTCTAATAAGGGATTTCAACCTATGACCAAGGGGTCCTACACAATTTATCGCCCGCATCGAAGTTCTCGTAGGTAGATATAATATTAATTTATAGATCGTCTCAACTTGCTTCGTTTAGAGAGAGTTAATGAGAGGACTGAAATCTGCGTGTACACAGGGCATGGCTTTATTGTGTACACTACATAATATGACAGAACAATTCTTCACGTCCGAGGGCATCTATAATGAGAGGTCGCTGTTCTCCTTACTAGGTAAGTTCTTCTCTTACACAATAGGTCACCTTTTCCGCTCTGCTTGGTGAACCAATGGTCCTTATGCGCCCACTCCTCTTAAGTTGGAACATATTTCGTTAACTGTGGTCTGGGACCTGCGACCTTACACGCAATAGAGTAGATTCTTGTACACATATACTGCGCATGTTTTACTCCATGTCTAAGTCACTCTATAGCTTCAGTGTTTCTATTTTACCCGCAAGATGATGACAGTAGCAAAATCTGGACCTGATTTTCGACCAGGTAAATTGGGCAGGAGAATAAGGTAATTTAGCGCCCTCATTTTAGTGCAGATGACTGCTTTCGGTAATTTGATTTTTTAGAATCGCCATTTTGCTTTCAACAGTTGAGGTACAATTTTTGCAGCCTGGGGCGATGGTCCCCGCTGGTGGTGGCGGTCGCAATGCGTGGGACACAAGGTGGGCTGTGATTAACCATGCACCCGGAGTCAGCAGATGCTCCAGGGGGAACTGCTACAAGGGCCGCTGAATGGTCACGGTGGGGAGGGCGGCTGGAACAAATAGCGTGTTGTGTCACGAGCCACAGCCATGTTGCCGTGCGGCTCAGGGTGCACGCGAGCGAGAGGTCTTTGCATGGCTGGGGTTGGAGTTTTCGTTACGGGACCGGCCGGTGGCATACCGTGTTGCTCAGGTGTAGACAAGTCCAGAGGCCCTGCCACGAGAGCCTAAAACCCCATGGAAATCGGAGAAATTGAACTCATGAGTCAGAACTAAGCCACGAGCGGTGCAACCTCGGACTCTGCGGCGGTTTTGTAGCCGGCACTTCTTGTGACAACACACGATGTCAGGACCCGACATGTGGGTTCTCCACTAGTTGCTCTTCGTCTGCACACGGAGATTTTCCATTTTGTCCTTGCGTACCCGGCATGATTGTGTCGACAAGTCGCCATCCGGCTATTCCAATACAATTAAGAAATGTATGAGGGCAGGATCCTATACATATCGGACCTAGGCGAACCCTAGAGGTAACTAGCGGACTTATAATAATCCCTTCTGCTTGCTGCGGCCATACATATGATTAGGAAAATTTTGAAATCAGTATCGAAACATTGAAGGCTACGTCACTAGTCCTACTCGTCAACTAAAGGGCTTATTTTGAAAATTTACGGTAGCAGGCAAACATACAGTACGGCTGGTGGTACATATGTCGCCCCGAGGGGCGCCACATAGGGATTAGTAGACAGGCGGCCGATAAACAACGAGTGG